ATATATATATATATACATATTCTTTTTCAGATTCTTTTCCACTATATTTTATTACAAAGATGTTGAATATAGTTTCTTGTGCTATATGGTAGGTCTTTGTTGTTTATCATTTATGTATAATAATATCTGTTAATCCCCAATTCTTAATTTATCCCTTCCCCTCCCCCCTCCCCCTTTGGTAGCCGTTAAGTTTGTTTTCTATGTGACACTATTCCTAAAAAGAGCCCTTTGCCCAACCGTCAGTCAGAAAAGTGGGTTAACAGAGTAAGGTAATGAAAGTAAGAGAATCAGATCACATTTGTCCCCTCTGTATAAAAATCTAGGGACTTCTCTGGTGGTCCAGTGGTTAAGAATTTGCCTTCTAATGTAGGGGACTAGGGTTGGATACTTGGTCAGGGAACTAGGAGCCCACGTGCCTCAGGGCAACTAAGCTTGCAAAACTACTGAGTCCTCTCGCCACAACTAGAGAAGCCTGTGCGCTGCATTTGAAGAGTCTGCGTAGCCAAAAAAAAATTTACAAAATATGAATAACTAATTATATGAACTCAGAGAGGGCGAATGGCCTCCTCAATATTCCCGGGACTTGGTGAAAGGGAACTTAAGGCTGGCCTACTGTATATCCTGTCCACGGGAAAGGGGCCCGCTGGACAGGGACAGGAAGCGGCATGTCTGCAGGGGTATGGACACCCCACCGGAGACGCCGGGGTATTCTGTGTGAGCATCACAGGCGAGGCGGGGTGAGAGGGCTGCCGAGCACATCACAGACTGACAGCAGGACAGCAGGACGTGGGATGTGATGGGTCTTCATTACATTGTGCTACAACGGCAAAGTATGGTAAAGACGGTAAAGTACCTGCCTACAATGCAGGAGACCCGAGTCCGACCCCTGGGTTGAGAAGATCCCCTGGAGAAGGGCATAGCAACCCACTCCTGTATTCTTGCCTGGAGAATCCCCGTGGACAGGCGGGCTACAGTCCATGGGGTTGCAGGACACTTTCGCTTTCGAAAAACTGAACAGAGGTGAGAGAGAGCAGTGATGAGGGGCTTCAGCCATCCAGGCGTGGAGGAGGCTCATGACGTAAAGCAAAGGAACTGATAAAGAGAAGGGCTAGGTTTAAGGAAATTGCATTTTTTAAAATTTAATTTAATTTTTAATTGGAGGATAATTACTTTACAATGTTGTGATGGTTTCTGCTATACATCAACATGAATCAGCCATAGGTATACATATGTCCTCTCCCTCAAATACTTTTAAACGTAGAGAAAAGGTAGGTAGATCACGAAATCACTTAGCTGTAAGGCAGAAATTAACACAACGTTGTAAAATCAATTCTACTTTAATAAAATGAAGGAGAAAAAAGACAGGTAGGAGCCTATGGCCTGTGACTCTAGACAGGGAGGGACTTGGAGGGAAAGTGGGAGCTGCAAGAGGAACTGAATCGTGACTAATCCCAGAGAGATGGCAACAGGGACAGAGCTAAAGGAGCTATTGTGTTTCTCATGACATGTTTGGTTTAGAAAAGGACACAGACAAAGATAGAAGGAACGGCACAGTACCAAGGACGAATTGAGAAGAGTGACACATTTCTGTGAGAACAGTGCTGAGGCCTGAAATGAAGCTTGCAAAAAAAAAAAAAGCTAAAGTTGGCAAAAGAAATCTGAAAAGAAAATTTTAAAAGGGACATTATTTTTAGCTATGATTAAAAAAGGGATGAGGTTCTTTGCTTGGATCACAACAGCATGTTAACAGAGAATGAAGTTGAGATGACCCAACTCCCTGTTTGCTGTCTAGCCTTTCCATAGAAGCCAGTGGTCTTAACTAGGAAGAGGTAAAGAAGCATCCTTACAGCACTTCCCTGGCAGTCCAGTGGTAAAGACTCTGTGCTTTCAATGCGTGGGGCACAGGTTCGATCCCTGGCCAGGGAACTAAGATCGTGCACACCATGTGGCATGGTGAAAGTATTTTAAAAAATAAAAATAAAGAGGCATCCTTAGAAGAGCCTCAGGCATGTGGGAAGGGGATGTGGCATGCCCTGAGTGGTATGTCCTCTGAACCATTTTAAGTCCAAATCTCCAGGCTCTACAGTCTCCCATTTCAGGCCCCTGGAAGAACCAACAGATAGGACAGCAGAGACAATGTACTTGATCCCTGAAAAAACTAATGGAGACTGGGAAGTTTCCAAAAGATTACTGCCAGCAAACATCCCAGTGTTCTCATGCAGGAGGGGGAGATACAGTTCCTACTCTGTGAACCAATAAGCCTGGCAAAATTTTAACTAAGATGTAAAGAAGGTTTTAAATCCCTTTGAAAAGGATGGGTATTGAACACTATCACAGGTTGGAGAAAAATAAGCCAGACTATTGGGTTGCCCTCTCTCTTATATGGGCTTGCCTGATGCCTCATCGGGTAAAGAATCGGCCTGCAGTGCAGGAGACCCGGGTTCAATCCCTGCGTCGGGAAGATCCCCTGGAGGAGGGCATGGCAACCCACTCCAGTATTCTTGCCTGGAGAATCCCATGGACAGAGGAGGCTGGTGGGCTACAGTCCATGGAGTCGCAAGACTCAGGCGTGACTGAGCGACTAAGCAGGAACACTTCCCTATATGCTACCTAAGGGCACAGCCCAGAAAGGGCTCAGTTACTGAGCATCTTGAAGCACAAAAAAGCAAAAACAAACAAACAAACAACAAAAAAACAGCTCTGTATCTATTTAGTTCCTAACAACACAGGCGGTATGATGACCGAGGCTCAGAGATCCCTCTGATTGGGCTTTGGCCATTCTTGAGCCTGGGGTATTATCTCAGGCCTCCAAGCCTTTGTCACACGTGCTCCCTCATGCGGAATAACCTCCTCTTTGTTTGGCTGTTTGTCCTTTAAAACTCAGCTCAAATGGCAGCTCCTCGGGGAAAGTTTCTCTTCTGCTCAGTATGATTTAGAAGCCCCGATCCACAATCTGATGTCCACGTTGGAATCCTAGTACCCAATGTGATGGCGGTAGAAGGTAGGGATTTGGGGAGGTGCCCAGGTCCTGAGGGTGGAGGCCTCATAAATGGGATCTGTTGTTTCATGTAGTTGCTCAGCCATGTCTGACTCTTTGAGACCTCCATGAACTGCAGCCCTCCAGGCTCCTCTGTCCTTGGGATTTCCCAGGCAAGAACACTGGAGTGGGTTGCCATTTCCTCCTCCAGGGGATCTACCTGACCTAGAGATGGAACCCGGGTCTCCTGCTTTGGCAGGTGGGTTCTTATCACTGAACTACCAGGGAAGCCCCATCAATGGGATCAGTGCTCTTATACAGGAGACGGCACTGAGCTCCCAAGCCCCGTCTGCCACGTGAGGATGTCATGTGAGGATACAGGGAGAAGTCTGTGTTTGGGCACAGGGCCCACACCTGACTATGTTGGTACCCTATTCTGACTTCCAGGCTCCTGAACCATGAGCAATAAACTTCTGTTCCTAAGCCACCCAGTCTCTGGTGTTTTGCTAAAGCAGCCGGAACGGGCTCAGTCCCTTATCCGTGTTTGCCAAGCCTCCTGTGCACTCTGCTATCACAGCGCTCATCCCCTGGGCTACAACGGACAGCTTCCTTATCTGCCTCCCCACGGCCTGCTGCCTCCTGGAGGAGTTTCTATTTCCAAAGCCTGCCCAGTGCCAGGCACACTGGGGATCCTCACATCACCGGGACTGCTTGCAGGAGTTTTGCTGAGAGGTTCAAAATCAGCCTGAGGGGATTTGTCTCTAATCATGTTCTGTGGGCTTCTCTGAGGCTAGACTTTTATCAGTGACTTGGAGGAATAATATTTTTTCAAGAACCCATAAAGCTGAGAGAAAAAGATAATTAGATAAAAGGCTCAAGGTTCAATCTATGGTTGACTATAAAACCTGAAAACATAGATAAGTTTTTATATAGATGGATTTTTCTTCTTGATTTTTCTGTGGCATGCTAACAGCATGTGTTTTTCTTTTTTTGGTTTGTTTTGCTTTGGAGAGAAAATCAGAGGCAGATCATGTGAGGTAACATGTCACAGAATACAGGCACTGAGGGAAATGCCACACTGGTGCACCATATTCATTGCAGTTTTCACCAGTGCTCTGAACTATGCATTGCTAATGCAGGGCAACACAGTGAATATATCATGTAATGTCACTAACCGTATGACACATTATCACTTAATATCAGTAAGCCATTTATTATAGATGTTCTTCTATGCTTCCAGACTTTCTGGCTACTCTGTAGAAAACCGGCTTATAACAGTGAAATTATAATAGAAATGTTCACGAGGCTTTATGCGTGCATGCTTGCATAGTTGTGTCTAATTCTTTGCGATCCCACAGACTAGCCCACCAGGTTCCTCTGTCCATGGGATTTCCCAAGCAAGAATACTGGCGTGAGTTGTCGTTTTCTCCTCCAGAGGATCTTCCCCACCCAGGGACTGAACCTGGGTCTCCTGCATTGCAGGCAGATTCTTTCCTGCTGAGCCACCAGGGAAGGCCTGTGTTCGAATGTGAGTATAAATATCATTCTCTGAACTTGCCACCTTCTGGCATCAGGTGATTATACCGTGAGGCTCAGGTCCAAGGTTCCGTTCTCCCTAGCATCTCTGCAGAGCTTCTCTTAAGGCATAAGGCCCCTCCCTCTTTCTGGAACATGAATTTATCTCAGGCAGATAGGTGCTCCACTTTCTGTTCCAAATGCCCCTTTTTAGGTCAGGTCTTCAGAGAAAGCTTTAACTGAACTCTGAAGTGTAGCCAGCCAATTTAATTGCTCAGTGTAATCACTTTATGATTATGATTTGATAACATATCAGTTCTGTCTCTATTCCTATTTGGTTTGCTGGAACGAAAACGAAATCAAAACCCATTAAGAGGAAGGCTTCAGGCAGCGATTAACTTGAATCCCAGACCAGTATATTTTTGGCATATTTACCTTGTGGATAAAACATGTGTTTTTATGGGACAGAGGAGACCATGGGATAGTGAGGACAGTGAGAAGCCCATACCTGAGCCGCAGACAACAAAAACGAACAGTGCCAACAGCCATGGTCCCACAGGATACTTCTCTTCTTGTGGCCTCTGAAAGTGAGTGGGAGAAAGTAAGATGAGGTTCATTCATTCAAGAAACATTTATTGAGTACAGCTAGACACTGTCCTAGAGGCTGGGGACCCGTCTGTGAACAAAACAGATCCAGTCTTAACGCCAGTGGGCAGATCTAGATGAAAGTGAAAGTGTGAGTCACTCTGTAATGTCCGACTCTTCCATGACCCCGTGGACTGTAGCCCACCAGGCACCTCTGTCCATGGGATTCTCCAGGCAAGAATACTGGGGTGGGTAGCCACTGCCTTCTCCAGGGGATCTCCCAGACCAGGGACTGAACCTGCGTTGTGGATTGTAGGAAGATTCTTTACTGTCTGAGCCACCAGAGATTTAGATGAACAAAGTCAATTTAAAGAATCAAGACTGGTTTGGAAAAACTCATCAACAACCTTATTTACATCCCTGTAACTCAATGAACTTGGTGGTTCTTAAATAATCTGAGACAGATGAGGTATAATCTGTAAATCAGTACAGTGATTTGGGAGCCAAAAAATGCCATTACTAATAATTGTTTCTGTTGGCTGAAAGCACACTTCATACCAGTCACTCTAGGAAGCAGCTGATATTCCACCATTTCCAACTCCACATGAGGTCAGTCTTTTCATCCCCCTTCTGTAGCTGAGAAACTGAGGCTCATGCTTTGTTAACTTCAGCAAGAGCTGGGATTCAAGTTTAGATTTGCCTCATTATAGAGCCAGGGGTTTTGCCTCCAACAGACTCCCCTCAAATTCCCGCATCTGTGGCTTCCAAGCGGGGTCACAAAGCACAGCCATTTTCTCAAAACTTTCCAAGTGCCAGGACTTCCCCTGAGATCAAGTGGTAAGACTCTACCTTTCAAAGCATGGGTGCTTATAAGCTCAGTCATGTCTGACTCTTTTCGACCCTATGGACTGTAACCTCCAGGCTCCTCTGTCCATGGAATTTCCCAGGCAATAATCCTGCAGTGGGTTGCCATTCCCTTCTCCAGGGGATCTTCCCAGCCCAGGGATGGAACCCGGGTCTCCTGTGTCTCCTGCATTGGCAGGTGGATTCTTTACCACTGCGCCACCTGGAGAGCAGGGGGTCTATCTCTGGTTGGGGAATTGCGATCCCATGTGTCTCGTGGTATGGCCAAAAAAATAAAGAGAACTCTTTAAAAAATGAAAAATGATGGTTTAAAAAAAGAAAAAATTTTTAAGTGCTAGAAACCTGGGAAGTCACTGCAGTGCAAATCCAGGGAACAGTAGAAAGCAACCACATATGGAGGTGAGAGGAGCAGCATTTTGTAAAAAAAAAACTCCTAATTCTTAGTCAAGCTGACTCTTTGGAGAAATCTCTACTTCTCTGGGAAGCACAAGGGTCCTGTGGTTCCCACACAGATGAGTCCTGCGAACCTCTTGCTCATCTCAAACCAAAACAACAGAAAGTCCCTCTGCAACCCCTCTGGGTCTGTGTGCCGGTAGGGCTTGGTCCTTACAATCCAATCAATCAATGGAAAACCAATATTTTGAGAGAAGCATCTGAAAGTGGAGAATTTCTCAAATGCTAAGGGAGAAGGTAGAGTGAAAAAAAGAGAGAACTCACTAAATATTTCCTCACTGGCATGAACCAAAAATAGGCTGTAGTCAACATAGATTAAAACAAAACAAACTTATTTTATCATAGATAAGGCAACAATTCTCTGGTTCTCAGCTTACTTGTTCCATTCTTAGACAACCTTCTCTCTTCTACTTCTGTTGAGCTCCCTTGGCACTTATATCACCAAGTACTTTTTCTAGATAGCACTTAGCATGATTTGTATTGTGATGTTTATTCTTGTGATGCTTTGTTTAATGTCTGTCTCTCCACTAGACTGTAAGCCCCACAAGGGCAGGTACTGTGTCTCTTTCATGTATCAGGGCATACCAAAGCCTGATCCAGAACTTAAATATAGTAGACGCTTGATAAATGTTCATCAAAGAATGAATAAGCATGCAAGTTTCACTAAATATGACGTCTTAGGTCACCTAGGGGCTTCCCTGGTGGTTCAGACGGGGTAAAGAATCCACCTGCAATGGAGGAGACCCAGGTTCAATCCCTGGGTCAGGAAGATCCCTTGGAGAAGGGAATGGCTACCCATTCTAGTATTCTTGCCTGGGAAATCCCACGGACAGAGGAGCCTGACAAGCTACAGACCATAGGGTTGCAGAGAGTTGGACATGACTCAGCAACTAACACTTTCACTTTTACTACTTTGTAGGTCACCTAGAATAAAGAAGGATCTAGAAAAGATATTGGCTCTTTTATTAATTCTTTCAAATTGGTGATAGGGTTATTCCAGGATTTCTCTTACTAGAGAAGTATACATTAGTGACAGGGGCAGATAGGATCTGACTAAGGATCAAAACAACTCACTTCTCTGACTTTGAGAAACTTGTATCTACCAACACTTGTATGATAGCAAATCACACTGAAAGGGGATAGATGGTTTCTTCTGACTAGAACAAGGACATAATCAGTCAAATAATTGCAAAGAATAACTCTTTAATCAGCATTTTCACTGTGTCATTCTTTGGCACTTAAGACTTAAGTCAAGATGAGAGCAAATAAATAGTTATTTGAACAGAGTGTAACATTTACTCCTCCCCCATTCACCAACTTCCTAATCATTTGTCCCAGTTGACCAGAAACAAATTCTGTTGCTGTCATCCCACTAATGCTATCTTAAAAAAAAAAAAAAAAAAAAAAAAAAAAAAAAAACCCATTTAGTTCTATCTCCAGCAAAGTCAACAAGTGAATTCAGGAGGCTGTAAATGGGATTATTGGTCTAGGGCAGATACCAAATGGAGTCCTTTATTTTTCCTTTGCGGAAACTCCACTCAAATTATCAGGATGCAGAACTTGGAGCATATACCACAGAAATCTTTTTGATGACATTTCACAGTGAATCAATTGTACTTAGGGACTTTCAGAACTCAAGAACAACTTGGTTGGTCATAATACCTATATATATATATATATATATATATATATATATATATTTTAAACTGGAGTACAGTTGCTTTACAATCTTGTGTTAGTTTCTGCCATACAGCAAAGTGAATCAGCCACGTGTGTGTGTGTGTGTGTGTGTATCCTCTTCCTTGGATTTCCTTCCCAGTTCCCTGTGCTATACAGCCTGTTCTCATTAGCTATCTATTTTATGCATGAAAGTGAAAGTATTAAATCTCTCAGTAGTGTCTGACTCTTGCAAGCCCACAGACGGAAGCCAGCCAGGCTCCTCTGTCTATGGAATTTTCCAGGCAAGAATACTGGAGTGGGTTGCCATTCCCTCCTCCAGGGGATCTTCCCAACCCAGGGATCAAACCCAATGTATTAATCCCATTTTCCAAATCCATGCCATTCCCCACTCCTCCTTTAGTATCCATACGTTTGTTCTCTATATGTGTTTCTACTTCTGCTTTGCAAATAAGTTCATCTATACCGTTTTTCTAGGTTTGAATTCCCAGTGGTCCAGCTGTTAAGACTCCATGCTGCCAGTGCAAGGGACATGGGTTCGATCCCTAGTAGGGGAACTAGGATCACACATGACTTGCAGCACAGGAAAAAAAAAACCAAAAACAACAACCCCTCTATCCCAATATATCCTTTTCTGGGGGCTTTGAGTTACTTCATTTTTGGAAACATTGCCCAGCACAAATCTGTCAGGACAATTCACTCAAGCCTAAATCTATTGCTGGGAAAGTTTTTTTTAAAAAAACAAAACAAAACAGTAGAATCGTGCAAATGACATGGTTCATTTCCAGCAGGAGTTTGACAGTCCCTGGGCCCCAAAATGGGCCTCCCTGGAGGCTCAGACATTAAAGAATCTGCCTGCAATGCAGGAGACCCGGGTTCAATCCCTGGGTCAGGAAGATCCCCTGGAGGAGGAAATGGCAACCCACTCCAGTATTCTTGCCTGGAGAATCCCATAGACAGAGGAGCCTGGTGGGCTACAGTCCATGGGGTCACAAAAGTTGGACACCACTGAGAGACTAACACTTTCATTTTGTTGCAGAATGTATTTCCCTGTGATAAGATACCAGCAGGAGAAATGAAATGTAAATTGCCCCTTTATTCTGAAGAAGTTACTACTGTATAATTATGAAATGATCATCCCATTACTCTGTTATCTGGGAGAACAATATTGATCTCCATAGCTGTACACCAATAATGAAATACCTGTATACAATTAAAGGAGTTTATTTCTAAATGACTAGTCTGGATTTTCCTTTAGAATCTGTTCTTGTGTCTGCATTTCATTCTGAACAAGTTACCCCTTGCAAGTTACTTCTTTCTAAGTATAATCATGTTTGATCTGTAATTAGGAAAATGAGATTTAGGATTTAAAGTGTTTCATTTTATTTTTTTGAAAGAGAATTTCATTTTTCTTTTTGGATGCTGATCCATGTACAATAAAGTTAACCAAAAAAGCCTTTCTAACCAAGGGAAAATAAACATACCTTGTGGCTTGGTTTAGAAATCTTTCATTACAAAGTTAGTAGAACCATTTAAATACCCTCGTAGGCGCCAGGCACTTTTGAAGGGCCTGCTCCATGGTATATCAGAACCTATTAAAAATCTACTCACAACACACATTAAACTTTATTTGAAAATATTTCTGAAAGTTGAATTGAGTTGAACTGCAGTAAAGTTGACTACATTTCTTAGATATTTAAACAGTTTTTTCTCTAACTGTTCCATTGTCTTTTCTTACTTTGGAGACAATCATTGTTTTTTTCAGGTCCCAAATGTTCTCGAGTGGTCTTGAAAAGCTCAAGGTGGCAGGTTCTGACTTTACCAAGCCTAACAGATAACACAGACTTCCCTGGTGGCTCAGTGGTTAAGAATCTGCCTGTCAGTGAAGGAGACATGGGTTCGATCCCTGGGTCAGGAAGATCCCCTGGAGAAAGGAATGACTACCCACTCTGGTATTCTTGCCTGGGAAGTTCCATGGACAGAGGAGCCTGGGGGGCTAAGTCCACTGGGTTGTGAAAGAGTGGACCTGACTGAGCGACCTAACAACAACAAATGGATAACACAGCTCTGCAAAAAAGTTTCTGTTTTGTTATTACTTTTGCAGTCAGATAAGCTGTCAACTGGAGAGAATTAACAAGTGAAGTCTGATTTTTATTTTTTAGTTCATTAAAAAGAACCACATAGCTAGAAATTTTCAGTAAATCAGCTAGCTTGTATATCATCCTTGGAAGGCTTGATCTTCTAGGGATATAAACACTGAATGCTTTAATATCCTTAAAAATTGTTTTTCAGCATCAATTTGGACAGTAAGATTTCTTTTTTCCTGAGTAAAAATACGAAAAACACAGATCTATGTGAAAAATAGTTTCAATTCAATGGCATGTTGCCATTTTGCTGCCCAACAACAACTAAATGATCTAGCTCCCAAATGAGAGCATTTCCAGCACAACTTAAGCCTATAGCTGTGCTGCGCTTAGTCACTTCAGTCGTGTCTGACTCTTTTCGACCCCATGATGTGTAGCCTGCCAAGCTCCTCTATCCATGGGGATTCTCCAGGCAAGAATATTGGAGTGGGTTGTCATGCCCTTCTCCAGGGGATCTTCCCAACCCAGGGACCAAACCTGGATCTCCCGCATTGCGGGCGGATTCTTGACTATCTGAGCCGCCAGGGAAGCCTACTTAAGCCTGTAACTGTGTAAAAAGATCCAGCGTTGATCCTAAGGCTTCTCTGACATAGTACTGCTTGGTTCTGCAAGAATTCTGGTCTAGTGATTGCAAATCTAGCTTTTTGCTCAGTGAATCAAACCAGCATTGTCTCTTTGGCTAAAAGCAATTGCCTCACCAAGTCAGCAGACTCTTCCAGCCAAACTCCAAGCTTCAGCTAAACTTCCACTGAAGTGTCTGAGATAATATTGATAGATTCCAAGTGTCTTTGCTCATGCACTTGGAGACAAACACTACCCAACAACTCATCTGAGGCCTGCCACCGAATGTCCAGAAATACAGGCCTGGCAATTTCTGCTGAAGATCATTTGTTTTACTGAAAACAAAGGAACACCACACACACAAACACACACACCCCACTGTGCATAAGGCACAGATTTTACTTAAACATTGTTATAAAGCTTTAATCTACAGTTTTGGAGACGTAGAATGCCTAGCAATAAACTAGTCTCTAAAATTCTGGAACATATTATTAAGATGAACCTGAATTCACAGAATGAATAAGAGGAATGCTGCTTTTAGAATTTGGCCTCCAAGCCTCTGGAGAAAAGGCAAAGAGGGAAGATGGAAGGAAACACAGGTTGAATCGCACTTTGAATTCCCAATGTACACAAGGAGAGCATTACAAAAGGCAGGAAGAAAAACCTTATCAGGGTGTGTTTGTTGGGGAGGGCAGCAGGGGTGAAGCCTAGGAGGGAGAGATGGCAAACGGCCTCATTTTACCCATTCATTCATTCATTCAACAAATGCTCTCGCACCTACTAGGTTCCTGTCCCTTGTGTCAAGCAGTGGGTTTAACTTCCCTTAAGGATGTGACTTTGATCTTTCCCAGAGACAAAGACTCAGTTCTCTCCTGGGGAGGCCCTTCTGCGCCTCCGTGGCAGCCACTCCCAGAGGGGCCACGGCCAACCAGGGCCCTCTCCGCCCACGCGAGCCCAAGTCCGCGCCCCGGCGTGGGGGAGCGCATTCCTCAGCGCCCCCGGGGTGCCAGACCCCACGGGAGGGGCGGCCCGGGGCGCGGAGGAGGCGGGGGTCAGCCCCGCGCCCGCAGTCCTACGCCCGCCCAGCCCCGGCCCGGCCACTCGCCGCCCGGTCCACGCCGCCCCCGCCTTACCAGGGTTTTGGCTACGTTCCCCCTCTGGGTGATGTTTTTGCTGTGCTTCTCGTTGGCCATCCGGATCCGCTGTTTGGCCACCATGGCTCGGGCGCCAGGAAACGCTCTCGACTCCCACCTGCAAGGATGCCCCCCGCGTGAGCCCCCCGACCGGGCCGAGCTCGTCCCGCCCGCCCCGGGCGCTGCAGGTGGCAAGGCGCGGCCCCCGAGCCCCGGGCACCCCGCTCCCCAACCCCCAACGAGCTGGCTCCAGAGAGAGGCCAGAGCCCGGACGGAAGTAATCTTTCATCTCAGGAAACCCTCTCCTACTTCCTCGCCATCCTTCCGGTCCCCCCAGCTACCTAACCAGCGCAGCCCCGAGGCGGGCGCTGCGGCGCGTCCTCTGCGCACCCGGCGGCCGGAGCGCAGCGCGCGGAGCGGCTCCGGTCGGGGGACCCCGGGGGAATCGGATCCAGCGGCCGAACGCGGCGAGGCCCAGGGTTCCGGCGGCCGCGGGCTTTGTGCGCTCACAGCGGGCGGGGGCTCCCCGGCCCGGGACCCACCGAGGCCCCGGGGAAAGGGTTGGGACGGCTGCGCTTCGAGGTGGGGTCGCGCAGTCTCCCCGTTACTGCTGCCCGCTGGCCAACGGCAGGGCTGGAGGCGGCGGCCCGTGGTCCTCAAAACACAAGTTCAACGAGGGAAGACGGGGCTGGGCCCGCTCTTTTGGGGGACCGTGGGAAGGAGCCTCCCCTTCGAGGGTCTGGAGACGGGCTTGCGCACGGAAGGGCGCCGCAGGAGGTTTCTGTAGTGCTGCTGAAAGGACCGGATCTTCCCCGGGGATGGGGAGAAGGGGGTGTGAGGATGGAGCAGGGAGAGGCCTTCCTGCCTGGGCGGTTACCGGGTTACTCGGAAGACGGACGGCGCCGCATCTGAGTGAGTGAAACGTGGAGGAAAGACTTAGGCTTGCTGCCCAGGTGGAGTTTGGTGGTCACCACCCGGACGTGGGTAACTTGGGCCACCCGGGGCAACTTGCATCTCCTCTAGAGAATTCCATCCCCCCCCCCCCCCCCCCCGCCTCAGCCCCCCACCCCAACCCTCCAGGAGCATCTGGACTGGGGGCTTCCCTGCGGTTCAAGGGTACAAATGGAACGTTCCTTACTCACAACCGTTGGTACCAGGCCCTACAGATTGTCTACTGTGGGGACAGGGCGGGGAGAGGGGTCCAGTCCTTCACTTTCCCACGTGCTGGATGGATTGGAGGTAGCCCCTAGAAGACCAGAAGAGGGGTAAACCTCAGCCCGGAAGTTCTGGGGCTGGGGTGAGTGGTGGGAAGAGTTAGACCAGCTTTGGCTCCTGCACCCCAGTCCTTCCCTTTGGGGCATCTGTGACTGGGTTTCCACCGGGTTCTATGGAATGAGGTTCCCCTGTGTCCAGGGGAGGTGAGGGAGGGCTCCTTCTCTCTTTGGGGGGCCCTTTGTGCCCTCATAACTGGCAGGGGCTGCTGGGCTGAGCTCAGCCTCATGTCCTTCCCCATTTCTTGTCAATCAAACGGTAATATGGACTGTTTAGGGGCAGCTTTGGGTAACCTAGAAGAAGCAAGAAGTTGTCTATCACCATTAGTAAAGTCTGGTCATTCTTTTTCTACTCTGAAGAAGAGTTGAGTTTCCACACGAGTTTCCATTGGCTTAACCATTACCCACCACCACCATTATTACAGGACCACAAACCAAGTAGGCCCAACCCTAATGCTGCGCTTTTAATAACAATTGAGTTCTTTCTTTTTAAAAGAATTAATTTTTTTTGAGTATAGTTGCCAGGTGATGCAAAGAGCTGACTTCTTGGAAAAGACCCTGATGCTGGGAAAGATTGAAGGCAGGAGGAGAAGGGGGCGGCAGAGAATGAGATGGTTGGATGGCACCACTGAATGAGTAGACATGAGTTTTAACAAACTCCAGGAGATAGTGAAGGACAGGGAAGCCTGGCGTGCTGCAGTCCGTGGGGTCGCAGAGTTGGACATGACCTAGCCACTGAACAACAATAGCTGCTTTGCAATATCGTGTTCATTTCTACTATACAGCAAAATGAATCAACTGCGCGGATACATACATACCCTCCCTTTTGGATTTCCTTTCCACTTAAGACACCACAGAGCTCTGAGTAGAGTTCCCTAAGCGCTGAGTAGGCCCTCATTAGTTCCCTATTTTATTCATAGCATCAGTAGTGCATATGTGTCAATTCCAAGCTCACAGTTCCTCGCACCCCCTTGCGGTTCCCCCTTGGTGTCCACACGTTTCTTCTCTACGTGTGTGTCTCTGTTTCTGCTTTGCAAATAAGACTCTTGGCGGGGAAGGGTGAGAGGCCTTCTCCTGCTCAGTCACACTTGCTGGATCTGGCTGTGTGTGAGGTCCAGGGCCGGCCTCTCCGTGACTTGCCTTCCTCCGATCTCGTCCACATACCTGGAGAGGAGACAAGGTGTTACCCCGCCTGAGCTGGGCACAGACCTGGCTCCGAGAAACATGAAGGGAAAGATGCAGACAGAGATGGTTTTCCATTTGGGCCTGTGAGCAGAAAAGGGTTCCTCAGGGTTAGAGATCTGCCTCCCGTCAGGCTCAGGTGTGCTGCCTTGCTGAGGAAAGAAATTGGTTTTTGACCCATGACTCCTGCTTGATATGGGGCTTCCCAGGTGGTGCTGGTGGTAAAGAACCCACCTGCCCACGCAAGAGATATGGGTTGAATCCCATGGTCGGGAAGATCCCCTGGAGGAGGGCATGGCAACCCACTCCAGTGTTCTTGCCTGGAGAATCCCATGGACAGAGGAGCCTGGTGGGCTACAGCCCATGGGGTCGCAAAGAGTGGGACATGATGGGAGCGACTAAGCACACACGCGTGCCTGCTCGACACTGACCAGTTTTACTCTTTTGTTTTTGCTACGCTTCATTTCACAGTATTTTAAGTTAGTTTGTTTTAATTATAGACGGTATACTCGCAGCAAACATTTAAACAGAAATAGGATATAAAGTGATAAAGCAAAGGTCTCATTCCCTGCCCTCCCCACCAATTCCCATTGCTTCTAGGTTACCCTTCTAGTAGTTTTTACTCCTATGGAAGGCTTCTTATATATTCCCTCTTAAAAAACAAGCCAACATATGCCAACTGTTCTGTCACTTGCTTTTCTCAGTTTGTTGCAATATGATCACATCTACTTTTATATCCCTTCTTTTTCTAATAGCTACACAGTCTTCCATATTTATGGTTATATAGTAATATATTAAACTATAGGTGGGCATTACTTTGCCAACAAAGGTCTGTCTAGTCAAGGCTATGGTTTTTCCAGTAGTCATGTATGGATGTGAGAGTTGGACTATAAAGAAAGCTGAGCGCTAAGGAACTGATGCTTTTGCACTGTGGTGTTGGAGAAGACTCTTGAGAGTCCCTTGGACTGCAAGGAGGTCCAATCAGTCCATCCTAAAGGAGATCAGTCCTGAATATTCATTGGAAGGATTGATGTCGAAGCTGAAACTCCAATAGTTTGGCCACCTGATTCGAAGAACTGACTCATTGGAAAAGACCCTGATGCTGGGAAAGATTAAAGGCAGGAAGAGATGGGGATGACAAAGGATGAGATGGTTGGATGGCATTACCGACTCGATGGGCATGAGTTTGAGTAAACTTCAGGAGTTGGTGAAGGAGAGGGAAGCCTGGTGTGCTGCAGTCCATGGGGTCGCAAAGAGCTGGACACGACTGAGTGAACTGAACTGAACTGATAGGTGGGCAGTTATTTCCAGTTATTTTGTATACATGTGTGTGTTTGCCAACAATGCTTTAGTGAACATCCCTGTGCATGTATCCTTATGTACTTGTGCAGGACACGTATATATGTATGGAATAGATTGCTAGAGTTGAAGCTATTGTACCTTCCATGCCTTCAGTGGAGTTACTGCTTTCTTTTGGGGTGAGGCAGTCTCCTGCTCTTGCTGTTCTGTCGCTAAGTGATGTTTGACTCTGCGACTTCATGAACGCCAGGCTTCCCTGTCCATCACCAACTCCCGGAGCTTGCTCAGACTCATGTCCACTGAGTCGGTGATGCCATCCAACCGTCTCATCCTCTGTCTCCCCTTCCCCTACTGCTCTCAATCTTTCCCAGCTTCAGGGTCTTTTCCAAGGAGTCAGTTCTTTGCGTCAGGTGGCCAAAATATTGGAGCTTCAGCATCAGTCCTTCAAATGAATATTCAGAACTGATTTCCTTTGGGATTGACTGGTTTGATCTCCTTGCTGTCCAGGGGACTCTCAAGAGTCTTCTCTAGCACCACTACTACTGTGACCTCCACTATATCTGCTCATTCCATATGGACTCTCAAGAGTCTTCTCCAACACCACAGTTCAAAAGCATCAGTTCTTCAGCACTCAGCTTTCTTTATAGTCCAACTCTCACGTCCATACATGACTACTGGAAAAACCATATCCTTGACTTGACGGACCTTTGTTGGCAAAGTAATGCCATATCTCCATCCATATCTCTTTGCCCTCTACAGTCTCAGACCTTTATTAGACCTAGAGAATCACCATTATTGTTTTTTTTCTAATATTTTAAAATATGGACCATTTTAAAAGTCTTTATTGAGTTTGTTAAATACTGTTTCAGTTTTATGTTTTGTTTTTTGGCCCTGAGGCATGTGGGATCTTAGCTGCCCCACCAGGGATCAAACCCACAGCTCGCTGCATCGGAAGGTGAAGTCTTAACCACCGGACTGCCAGGGAAGTCCTGAGGATTGCCATTATTTACTAAGAAGAGTTCTCCCTTCCACCGTGGGTCTTGTCCCTACCTCTCCTTAGCCCCACACGCATGCATGCATGCTCAGTTGCTTCATTTGTGTCCGACTCTTTGCGACCCTATGGACTGCAACCTGCTAGGCTCCTCTGCCCATGGGATTCTCCAGGCAAGAACACTGACGTGGGTTGCCATGCCCTCCTCCAGGGGATCATCCTGACCCTGGGATCGAACTCACGTCTCTTGTGTCCCCTGCATTGTAGGCCGATTCTTTACCACTGAGCCACTGGGGAAGCACCCTTAGCCCCACAGCCTGCCATACTGCCAGAAGCCCTTC